AACCTTCATAGCCCGAAGCTTTTCCTACTCGCGGCCACCGATTGATCCGTCCTACTCTCCAGACCCTGGCCGATTCAGTTCGGGTAATTCCAATTCTCCTTTCCTTATTACTATCAACCCAAAGTTCAATTTTGTTTATCTATTTTTGTTATTTTTGTGATTTTTAATTTATTACTTATTAGCTCTGCACTTCAGTGATTGCTTGCAGCTTCATTTTCCTAATGTGCTTCTAATTATTTTGAATTTTATTTTATCTTCCTTTTTTAGCTGTTGTGAACACTTAGTTACTCTTTCTGGGTTCATTTTCGTTAATTAATGTGGAATTTCTGTTCTAATTAATGATCAGTAGTATTATTATGCTCTCTTACTTCTCACATGTAGGTTTTTTGTGTGAAATTTTTCATTTTTTGACTGCCACTTGATTGGTTTTTGTGTTCTTCAATTGGGTATTTGGCATTATGCTGAATTATGATGTTTTATGCTGAAATTTAGATTCTTTAATTTTTGTTTTTGTGGGTGAAATCTTCTGCATTTAGTGTTATTTGTAATGTGAAGTAGATAAGTAGTAATTAATTAATTCTTATCTCTATAATTTTCATTTTTGTGTGTGTATCTTGGTATTTCAGTTTGTGTATGTATCTATAATTTTCATTCTCCTGTGGTACTGCAGTGAAATGTTGTTAAAGTTTTTGACTTGTGATGATCCTGTCACTTTTGGTACTGCATCTAGTTTCCGGTTGTACTAAATATAACGCTTTTTGCTGCCGCGGGCATATCTGAACAGGTTGCTTTAAGAAAATTTAGATTCTTTCAATGGGGATAGATCTTGAACGGCCTTCGGGAGAATGCCGTAAAGAAGGTATTAGAGACCATGCCATTGTGAAAGCAACTAATGGTCCTGCAAATGATAATTACGATACAGGACAAAATGAAAACAAGGTGGTTGCCAGAGACGAAATCAATTTGAATTCTACAAAAGATTTAGAACCTCATGATGGAATGGAGTTTGAATCAAAGGAAGATGCATTTTCGTTCTATAGAGAATATGCCAAGTCTGTGGGGTTCGCTGCTGTAATAAAGGCCAGTCGTCGATCAAGAGTATCCGGAAAGTTTATTGATGCAAAATTTGCATGCACTAGACATGGGAGCAAACGAGAATCTAATACAGCTGAAGCACCAGAGTACGTTTCAAACCCCAGAGAATCTAGTATCTGTGACTCTGTTAAGAGAAAACGAGGTCGCTCTAACCGATCTTGGGAGAAAACAGATTGTAAAGCCTCCATGCATGTTAAGAGGCAAGATGGTAGATGGATTATTCGTAGTTTCATAAAAGAGCATAATCATGAAATTTTTCCTGATGAAGCCTATTATTTTCGCGGGCATAGGGATTTAGATCTAGGTAGATATGATGTTGATCGCTTAATTGCTATCCGGAGAAGAACAAAGAAGATGTATGTTGATATGGCCAAACAGTCCGGTGGCTTCAAGAAGTTAGATAATCAACAAGGTGGTGGGACAAATCAATCACTGAGCAGGAAGCATTTATCTTTAGAGGAAGGAGATGCTCAAGTTATGCTTGACTATTTTGTGTATATGCAAGATGAGAATCCTAACTTCTTTTATGCGGTTGATCTGAATGAGGAGCAGCGTTTGAAGAATGTTTTCTGGGTTGATGCCAAAGGTAGACTTGATTATGGGAATTTTAGCGATGTAGTATTTCTTGATACCGCATATATCAAGAATGAATACAAATTGCCGTTTGTTCCCTTTATTGGCGTGAACCACCACTTTCAGTTCATTTTGCTTGGATGTGCTTTACTAGCTGATGAGAGTAAATCATCCTATGTCTGGCTGATACGGGCATGGCTAAAAGCAATGGGTGGACGTGCTCCAAGAGTAATACTTAGTAGCCGAGATAAAGTCCTGAAAGAAGTGATTACAGAGGTCCTTCCTGATTCTCGTCATTGTTTTTGTTTGTGGCACATATTCGGCAAGATTCCTGATAAGCTTGGTTATGTGATTAGGCAACATGAAAAATTTATGGTTAAGTTTAACAAATGCGTTTTTAAGTCTTGGACAAATGAACAGTTTGAAAAAAGATGGTGGAAAATGGTTGACAGATTCAATTTAAGGGATGACGCATGGTTCCAATCATTGTATGAGGATCGTGGACGATGGATTCCAACATACATGAGAGACACTTTTCTGGCGGGTATGTGTACAACCCAGCGGTTAGAAGGTATAAATTGTTTCTTCGACAAATTCATGCAGAGGAAAACTCCGTTGAAAGAATTTTTAGAACAATACAAAACAATCCTTCGAGAGAGGTATGAAGAGGAAGTAAAAGCTGATTTTGAAACATGGCATAAGCAACCAGCATTGAGATCTCCATCACCATATGGTAAACAAATGGCAACTATGTATACTCATGCGGTATTTAAGAAATTCCAAGTTGAGGTTTTGGGAGTAGTTGCTTGTCATCCAAAGAAAGAAACTGAAGACGGAGTAATCAAAACTTTCAGAGTTCAAGATTTTGTAGAGAGTCAAGATTTCATTGTGGAGTGGAACGAAATGACATCGGATGTATCCTGTTTATGCCGTTCGTTTGAATTCAAAGGTTTTCTTTGTAGACATGTGTTGATTGTACTGCAAATGTCTGGTGTACACAGTATTCCATCTCAGTATATATTAAAACGTTGGACGAAAGATGCAAAGAATAGGCAAACGATGAGAGAAGGGTCTGATGCAGCTGAGTCTAGAGTTCAACGTTACAATGATCTATGCCGACGAGGCTTTAAATTGAGTGATGAAGGTTCTTTATCCCAAGAAAGTTACAGTATTGCGTTTAATGCATTGGAAGAAGCTCTGAGAAGTTGTGAGAGTATAAATAACTCAATCCAGAATGTAACAGAGCCAATCTCGCCAAAGACTCATGGTCCTCAAGGCTCCGAAGGAGAGAACCAAGGCAACAACAATATCGAGACAAATAAAAAAAATGGTGCATCCAAGAAAGGACAGGTTAGTTGAACTTGTGGTGATTATTATTCTTATATTCCTGGTTGTGTTTTCTTTTGGAAAATTTAAATGCTCGTTTGGTTTGGTATGTCTTTGGAATTCTTTTAGGTGCATTCGGAGCCAGAGGCCATAACCATTGGGATGCAAGAAAGCTGGCAACAAGTGGTTAGTCATGCTATGTTATTGTTTAAGCCTTACCCATTTTATAGCATAAAAGGAATTTCTTTATGTGGGTTCCAAACTGGTTGCCGGGGCACTTGAAATTACGAATTCCAGCCCGTGATTGTTTTATAAATCGCAAGAGAGCATGCAAGAGATGGTACAATATAGTTAGCAGCAATCATAATGTTTAGCAAAACACTTCTTATTCACATTGCTGTTTATTATTTCCTAAAATTTAGAGTGGCATGTTTATTCTTAGGCAGAACTCACCTCAAGAGCTCCAAACTTCGATGGTTATTATGGCAGTCAACAAATTGTTCAAGGAATGGTAAGATATTATTCTCATCACGAAATTACAATACTGTGTTCTGTTCAAGGAAAAAGACGTCTGTACAACAATTTATCCCATGCTTAAAATTGATTTGAGCTGTGTCCCTTGGATCTTCTTGTAGGGGCAGCTAAACACGATACCCTCCAGCCGTGAAGAATATCATAGCAATCAGCTTATGCCAAGGCTGGTAGTGCACATTTCCTATTTGTTTAAGAACGTAATTTTATGGATATTTTCATATAAATTTCTAATTATTTATAAAAAAGTACAGTACAACTTCTTCACTAAATCCTTCGTTTCTGCCACAGGGTCTAATAAACTCAATCGTGCCCATCCATGATTCTCACTACATGACTCAGCAAAGACTGCATGCGGTGGTACAGAATTCTTTTGTTTTTTCATAAGCTCACGGATTTTTTTTTTCGTTTAATCATAAATGAAAGGAGAGTCCATTCGTTTGAGGGGTGATGTCATTTGTTACTGTTAGTACCATTTCTGTTTGCATTTCTTGGTATAGTAATGATACCCTGTTGTGTGTAGGCGCAGTTGCATTTCAGACCACAATCCATTCCGAGTTATTTTGACATTCAAGATGGTTTGCAAGATGTGGTATGCAAATACTAACCTAGGTTGTCTGGATTTTTTCTTGGCGTGAGATTCTTGACATCGGTTTTCATTCTTCTTCCAGGACCAGTCTACTGTGGGAACCAATCAACCACATGGCTTGTCATCAAAACATTTGCATTCTAAACACCCATCTCATCAGTAGCGAAGTGTTAGTACCTGTCTACCAAAGGTGAGTTATAAGGGATTGACTACCTGCTCCCAAACGTTTCAAAACCAACCTTCGTTGGCCTATATTCCATCATAGTTTTATCGATACCAACCTCGGTTCCTAGTACAGACTTTTCTTTGATTTCTGTTTTCCAGAATCATAAGATTATAATGTAGCAAATCTATTATTTCACAGGTGAAGAATGTGGGAATGAAGCAACACTCTGCAGCAACTGAGAAATCCAAAATTGAAGGAATCTAACGTTGCAGATTTTGTCGGAGAACAGGGAGAGATCCGACCATGATCAGGAAGACGGAAATATCGTTGGTGTTTGTCCCAGTAGAGATGTGGAAATCCCTCAATTCCAAGAACTAATATTATCCGATTCTTCTTTTTTTAGCTTACAGCTATTCTGTATAGGTGATTGCCTCCTCTGTCAAATACAAATGTACATTTTTTTTAAGTTAATCCAATTTCCAAGTCCAACTAATTAGCCATGTTCATATTTTCCATCCCCAAGCATTAGCACCATCTGGGGGTTTGGAGAAGCGATTTCCGCACTTCTTTTCCTTCCCACGCACTCCTCCCCATTTATCCACCAGTTGACTTAAACAAATCAAAGGAGGATTGAGAGGAGTGCGTGGGAAAAAAGTGAACCGCGGAAATAATTTCCTGTTATTAAACTTGTCGAAATTTAATATCGAGAACATTGACTAATCTCGCGAAGAGGAGTACATCACATTGACTAATCTCGCAAAGAGGACTAAATCTTGATCGTCTTTTTTATTTCATTCAAGAGAAACTTTTGCGCCAAGAGCTTTCAGCTTCTCTATTAGTTGCTCTCCTTCTTCCTTTGACACTCCTGTCTTTAGCACCGATGGCGCCTTCTCCACTAAATCCTTTGCTTCCTTGAGTCCCAAGTCGGTGAAGCTCCTTACCTCCTTGATCAGTTTTATTTTTGAAGCAGCCTCAAATGACTCCAATTTCAATTCGAATAGAGTCTTTTCCGGTTTCTTCTCCTCCTTAGCTGCCGACGGTCCCTTCGTCGCCAATCCTATTCCAGCAGCTCCTGGCTTCATGACTCCTACAACTGGTGGTTCCGTCATTCCCTTTTTTCTCATCAAAATGGAACCCAGCTCAGCAACTTCAACCAGTGTGAGTGATGATATTTCATCGACAAGCCTAAAAACCCGATCAGTTGGAGGACTACGATGCTCCGTGGGATCAAATGTTGCTGGATCATAATCAGCAGGGAGTCTTCTTTGGTCAATCTCCACCTCTTCCTCCTCTTCCTCTTCTTGCCTTGCAGGTCGACCAAAGTTTCGACAAAATCCATTTAATCTACCAGGGTTCAGTGCTCCAACGGAAGAAATAAGGGGTCTTCTGCAAATTCCATTAGGCAAATGATTCCGTAATCTTAAGATCAAACTCATCTTTTCAAGGTTTGCACATGAGTCGGTTCTATAACAAATGGAAATCAACCTATAACGAACCCATTCACTTCTCGCAATCGCTTATCTGGATCCGGAATCCACACAAAACCTGTCAGATGCATTTGCTAAGGTTAATAGAGTTTCTAATGCTAAAGAATCGAACGTTAAAGCTAAAAAAAAAGGCTTGAATCAATACACTCTCAGAAACAAACAGAACTATCCTTCTTCTACCTGCACATCATTTCCCATTGAAAAAATTTATCTCCGCCAACTCTTTGTAAATTTCTATCATTGGGAGGTAATGATATCCAAAATTTTTGTCTTCAACATCCTCCCATTAAAAATCAACAAATAACTAAAAAGGGGAGGGGAAGTGCTTGGTTTCTGAGGGTAGGGGCGGAATCGAATTCCCGAATTCCATCATTTGGATTCCGAGATTGGTTTTGTGTATTTCGGGTATGTTTTAACCACAAGATTCGGACTTTTGTCTGCAACAATCAAAAGAAGAACAGACAGGAAGCAAGAAATCATTAAAGTTTCCAACTTTTGATTGAAATTTTCTGATCCCATTTTCTGAGCAACCAAACAGAAGGTAAATTTATGAAACTAACAAACAAAGAAGCGCCCATTTCCGGAGCCTGATGGAAACTCAATTAGGCAATCACATGAAACCATTTCTGATTCACAAGTCCAAAATCAATCATCACAGAGAGAGAGGAGAGAGAGTACCTTACGAGTTCTGAGCTCGTGTAAGTTTGAGGTAGAACCCAACAGAGACTGAGCGAGAAACAAGGGTTTTTGTATATGTTTTTTAAAGGAAAATAAAAATCCCGGGTTTAAACAGGCACGTAAGACCGACCCAAGAGTAGACAATTGCCCCCTATTCAGTCTCATTTTTCCTCGATTGGTTAAAGAGAGTTTTAACGAAACTCCTAGTACTGTTCATTTTAAAAAATTACATTTTACCTTTTTCTTGTACTATTAACTACACATTTATTTGTTATTTTTCATTAAAACTAAAGTTTTTTTTGGACTTCTTCCTAAGTTTTTCCTTTGGTTTTAAATCGTTTCTATGACATGATCCATGATCCACATTTAATTCTCTTTTCATGTTTTTGCTTCGAATCTGTTTTCGATTGCAAGAAGTCCTTTACCGTGGAAAGAAGTTGAGCTATTGTACGACGGTGTGAGTTTAAATTCCGTCAGTGGTTAATCTAACATTTAATGATTCTAATCTAACAAAATCTATTATTTAACAAAGAAAAAAAAATCTATTTTCGATTTTTAGAACATGGGAGTGACCGTACGATGCTTCATGATTCTCATCCTTTTCTTGCCCATCATTTTCAAATGATTCAGTGGCTGGACGGAGATGGTTTAACCGGACGATAAGCTTGTCGGAGTAGCCGGAGAAAAAAAAGCATTGCAACCTGCAGGTTTCTTCCATTCCATGGGTGTATTACATTCTTAGTTACAATCGTTGCGCGTTAGAGTGAATATTGGCCGACTATCTTTGAAGTTTCGATTAACATTTGTTATGCTAGATATCCCATTGGAAATTCATAGGATGATACAAATGCTTGTAAGGACTTAAAACCGGATTTTGTAATTGCCGAATATTGTAGCATGGACTTCTTGTAACTGAGTAGGACAATAAAGTTGATTGGCACCGAATTTTTATAAACTCTGCCATTGCCTAACCTGGTATTATAACTAAGCAGAACATTAAAATGATTGGTTGTGTGAAGAATAAGTTTGCCATTGCCGAGCCTAATATTATAACTAAGCAGAATATTAAAATGATTGGTTGTGTGAAGAATAAGTCTACTATTGCCGAGTCTGATAGTATAAATGATTGGTTGTGTGAAGAATAAGTCTACCATTGCCGAGTCTGATAGTATAATTAAGCAGAACATTAAAATAATTGGTTGTGTGAAGAATAAGTCAAGTGGTTAAATGATTCATTATCCTCGTGCAATGTCAAATTAAGCATGCGTGGTGCTCGACTCAACTCACCATCCCACGATCACTTTTTAGAGTTAGAATTTGGTTTTTGCAAAACACGTATTGATAGAATTGAAGCATGACCAAAATAAATGTATCCCAAAGACCTTCACTTTATACACTGCAAATCACCCACTAATATTATCACAAACAGTCAAATATATAGGACCTAACTCACACTCTAGTTTTTCAGTAAAATACAGCCGCACAAATCAAGGGAAAAATACCGATTCTTTCAACTGATTAGAATGTTATCTCGCAAGGGGCATGGAAGGTTCTTCCGCGGCAAATAGCTTCGAGGTTTTCTCCACCGTATGAACAAAGAGGTGAAACCTCTACACCTGCATTCAACAGCAATTGTGTCAATGCAACTTTCCCTTATTTTTTTTGTTTCCTTCCCATACGTTTATGCACATGCTAGAATGCAAATCAAAGCAAAGTGCATGAACTACCAGTTGCATATAGAGGCACTGAATGTGTTAAGAATCCGCCAGCAGCAACTACCCAACGAGTGTGAAGTCGGAGAACAAGAAGCCTAGCACTATCTGGAGTGTCAAAATTTGACCCGTTTGCATGTTTTACTGGTGCAAACTCTTCTTCACGCAATACCTGAATATTTGGCAAACAAATGCAATCCTTAGCACCGCAACATCAAGAAAGGAAATAGTGGGGATTAGAGTACAAGCAGGGGGTAATGAAATTACCTCAAAAAGTGCAGTTGAGGGAGCGTAGGGAAACGCATCAAATATGAATTGCTCTAGTTTGAATCCCATTGACTGTCCATGGATCGAAGGAATTTTCTTCTCAGCAAGATGGTAACTGCATTCACGTGTTTACAATATTATTGTTAGAATAGCCAAAACTATCTATGAGAAATTCCAAACGCAAGGCAATTAGAGAGATCGAGAGAGACTGACATGCTATCCTTCTCAAGGCCATTAGCCACTTGGTTTAGAAAATCCAGGGTAAACATGTGCAAACACACCTGAAACATGCAAAGTGGCAAGAAGCTGTCATAACTCATGATTGAAACTATAAGCTAAAGGGACATGAATTCTCTTCTTCAGGCAATTGGACCTCAATCCACTAAAGAAAGCATAGAATTTACAAGACAGTATTTATTTCAAAAGAAAGAAATAGTAGATCAGAGGTAACAATAAGCATTACATTACTCCAACAAAAACGAAGACGTCCAGTTTCTTGATTGATTGCAGATGCCAGAGATGAGTCCATCTCACTGTATTCAACCACAGTTAGAGGTCCCCCTTTTCCTCGACGTACAAACACACCAACCTTTTCTTGTGGGTATGCCTGTAACAAAAACCCCAAATAACCCAAAATGATAATAGTTCTAAAATTCAATATGTATGGAATGATACAAACTTTCAGAACTCATGTGTAAAACTGATATATCAGTAAAATAGTTATGCAGAAAAAAGTATATTCTTCCAAAAAGATGAAGGAGCAAAAGTAAATATGTGCGTATGTGTCACACAAAGAGAGAGAGAGAGAGAGAGAGAGAGATAAATTCTTATCACTTACCTTACGAACAACTTTTGCAGCGGCTGAAACACCTTTATCAATGAAATATCCCAAGAACGTTGGATCAGCTACACGAACCTGCTTTCAATAACCTAATCATTATACCTCTAAAATAAGAAAAACTTCCAACTCTTTTTTTTTTAAAGAACAATTTTACACTCCAGTTGATTTAGCTTTTGGTGGAAAATAGACGAAGAATTTTTATTCTCCCTCTTTGTTTGTTTAATGTAGAACCAAAAAAATTTGAAATCACATCTCGGTAGGTTTGGTTCCTTTATCCAACTCCCTACCATGCATCATCTATTTCAGTGGACACTTTAGGTGGGACTGAGAGGAGAAAAAGATGAGTATTTTCTTCCTTGACCAACCAAATAATGGAAGAGATGGAATTTCAATTGCTCCCCCTCTTTTTTCTCCTCCTTGCAGACTACAGACACCATTCGGAAAGGAAGAAATCTCACCAGTGCATTGTCAACTCCATAGCAATCCACATATTTAATTCCTCTTGTAGCCATATCTTCTAATAATCTTGATGATTTTATAGCTGATAAAATGTATGGGTCCAATTCATTAAGGAATGTCTTATCAGCAGTTAAGGAAAACTGAGGAAATTAAGCTCAGCAGTAGTAGTTGACATGTTGAACCAAATCTTATGGGAAAATACCTGAATATACTCCTCCATTCCCATCCGGAGCCTTAGCTACCTGACTTAGAAGAATAAACTGGTGTTAATCATAGGCCTTTTTATTTTTTGAGGGTGGCAGTATATCACAATCTTTTATGGAATGGGCAAACAGTGCCTGTCAAATGGGCAGTATAGCACAATCTTTTATGAAATTTTTTTCCTATTGGTCTATTCCAAGCATACCTAAGGTAAGTAAGTGATTCTAAAAAGCCTTAAAAAAAGGAGGTAAAACAAAATGAGGTTTCCGAACAAACGACAGTTCAAAAAGAAGTCTAACTCTGTATGGAGTTTCCATGATAAATCTGCCATCCTTTGAAACACAAGGTATGGTACCTTGCTGAAAGAAGGTGACCTGCATCAAGGAAGTTTGAACATAAGGAAAGTAAGCAAAAACACGTTTTCCTTCATAGTAAGCAAAAGCATCCCAGATTATCAACAAAATATAAGAAAAATGAACCTGAAAAATTCTCACCTGGTCAGATTCGAGACCAAAGTATTTATGACTTTCAAAAAATTTCCGTGTGGATTCATCAGTAAATGGACTGGTCAGGATATACCAGTGTATTTGCAGTGGAGCAGCAGAACCTGAATAATATAGCAATTAGTATGAAAACCAAATTACTTAAGACCATAAAGAACCTCTTGCAATGAACCATAAAAGTGCCAGCTTAGCTGCTATTAGCCTTATCATACGAAAAAAATTTCACCTTCACCAAGACTTAGGGGTTCATTTATGGTAGGAAGCTACATTGTTTGGTAACCAAGCCTATGGACTGGAGAGAGAGGAAAGGAAAAAACAGAGAAATAAATCATACCCTCATTTATAGCTTGAGCAGCTAGTCTTTGGACGCACAAAATCCGCTCAGCTTGGAGTTGAAAGAGTGACTTTCCAGATGGAAGTCCAATGTCTAAAATATGTACAAAAGTTATTACACAGGTGATAAACATTTCAGCTAAAAGTTAACATAAAGGTATGATACAGAAAATTCTCTAAAATAAGGTAAAGAATGAAAAGAAAGATAAGACTACTACTCACTGAAGCATCCTTTCGGGTCTGAACTTCCAAGCCGGGTTCCCTGCAAAATTACCAAACACATACTTGAAAAACTGATGGGGCAGGGTTGAAACAACTCAATAAGTTATGAAGAAAATGTGCAGAAGCAGCCCAACTGGAAACAGTTTAGCGGATTTATTCGTGACTGAGTTGCCTCAACCACATACTTCATAGCCTCAATCAGCAAACATGGTCAAATGGGCATAATCATTTTAGTCACAATGAAAATTTCTAATAGCTTCCTTTACCACGATGTTTATTATCCAGAGAATTACTAGGCTTGAGTAGTTTACTGTTACTATGACTTGTGCACACAACACTTAAAATGAGATTAAGTGAGTCAGGAAGCTGAGAATGATGGGCCCCTGACATGAGCCTCAAATTCTTTAAAAGCATTCACCCAGATATGGAACCCGAACATGTCGGTATATCACTTCCCAATGTGACCAGAGAATGAACTACAGTGTAAAACATTTTCACTTTGCACCATACATCCCCACCCCCCTTAAAACAAAAACCAGAAAAAGAATACAAAGAAAGAATAAAGATTTTGGAATCCTATAAAGCAACTTTGCTGTAAA